TTTTTTTTGGTACCAGGGATTGAACTCGGGTCCTTGCACTTGCAGGGCAGGCGCCAGAACCACTGAGCTAAATCCCTGGCCCTTTGTTTTTGTTTGGATGCAGGGTTTTTGGTGTGTAGTTTAGGCTGGTCTTGAACTCACTTTGTAGCCCAAGCTGGACTTGGACTTGTGGCGATTCTCCTGCTCTGCACTACCATTCCACTTGGCTTCAGTTTTTAATGGCCAATTTTTCTTTTGATTGTGCTACCCCAATTCCATTTTTTTGATAAACATTTTTTTGAGTTTTGCCTAAAGAAAAAGTAAAAACATACCTGTTTGAGCTTTGCAACTATGTTAAGATCTTAACCTAGATATTTCAGTAACTTGTAGGATATAATTATTAGTTTGAAGAAGGACCAAATATCCTTTTTATATTATAGTTTCAATTGACCTCTCTGTGTAAATATTTGCCAAGTTTTTCTTTTGGCTGTGAATGACTTCTTCTGCATTCCAAAATTGGGCTTTCTTTTTGCCTCTCAGGTGAGTATGTTTCAGAGGGGCCTTGAGTTTATCCAAATAAAAATTAATTCCTCTCTCCCCCAGATAGCCATGTTCTGAGTAGCCCCAGAATATCCTCACCAAATCCTTTCACAGATTACAGTTATTTAAATGTACATCCATTACAAATGGTAGTATACCTTGCCTCTAGGATTTAAGACATTAAAAGTCTGGGATTATCCCATCAAATTATGCTAGTTAGTTAACAGTTTTGTGTGTTCATATTTGTGTGTATGGATTGTAGGAAGAATTAGCTTCTTAAAAATCAAAGTTTATAAAATATTTCATGCTGCTTATTAAGATTCCTAAACAGGAAAGATTTGTTGATTTAGATATTAGACAAATCAAATACAGGTAATTGGCTTGTGATTACTAGAGACACTGTTGCTAAAATAAAAGAACCATGTGGGTTTTATAGGCTATTAGTAGTGTCCATAATTGTAAAAATGATTTTGAGGATTCCATTTGAAAGGAACAAATATTTCAGGTTGGAACTTTTAATAATGGCTATAACTAACTACAAAATTTTATAATAAAACTTACATTGTATGCTAAAAAAATAATAAAGTTAAGCTATGTCACTGGTGGTGTATGCCTGTAATCAGTTACTTAGGAGGCCTCAGCAGGAGAATGGCAAGTTTAAGATCAGCCAGGCAATTTAAATGCACATGGGATTGAGGGGTGTGCTTCAGTGGTAGACTAGTTTTCTAGCATGTGTGAGTCCCTGGGTTCGATCCTGATCACTGTCAAGACAACAGTAACAACAAGTAGTTATTGGTCAACCAAGGTAGATGTTTTCTACCCGCTGCAGAGACATGCAATGCAAGTAAATGCCACATGCTGTCTATGTAGATGCCTTTTTAGACATGTCCCCTGGCTCTCCT